GACATTCTCTTATCTCTTACTCATGTAATCAAGTTTCCTTTGTCCTTATTGTTATGATATTTGTGGATTCAAAGGAAATAATAAGCACTTATTTTAGTAAAATAGTATTACAAATAATCAAATGGGTAATAATCAAATCACTGACTAATAAACGATACTATTAAATGATATAGTGATAATTATACAAATAAATAATGCTTTCAAATGATTATATGATCAAATAAAATAATTAAATGAAGAATAATAAAATGACAAAACAAGCTTGCGCTCTTGAAGGAACACACACTTGCTCAGGTGTGCTACAAGGATTCTCAGATCACTTGTTAGATGCATGTTGCGATAATGTTGCAATAATGACATACATGTTCATGATTAATAACCATGGTCATGCCTGCATCATTGAGCTTTTTATGTCAACTGGACTTATACCAGGGCTGTTACGATGTTAGCAGTAGAATAACATCAATGCAAGGGCAGCATCATGCAGATGAAGTATGAATGCAACAGCAGCTTTGGTGCCAAATTCCCAGTCAGTCAGACAGCCTAGTTGGATGCCACCATCTGCAGTGTAAAACAAGGCCAACATCGGTTTCAGTTCATTTTTATTCAAAATGCACAACAAAACATGTGATGCAAGTATTGGAGATTCAGGATATAACATGCATGGGTGCCCATTTGTTCTTGTTGTGCTGTGAATGTATGCAGTAGCAGTGTACATAAACCTACAGGATCAATCATTTGTGCAGTTTCCAGCTTTTTGTTGCTTTTTTATTTTTCACTTGTGCACTTGTTACAAAGACTGAATAGGTTATCGTTCTAGTTGAACACTAATTCATATAGGGTGTTAAGGGCAAGTGCATCAAATCATACCAAACCGCATCAAATCATACTAAACTACATCGAATCGAGTCATACCAAACCGCATCGGATCGAGTCATACCAAACCACTTCGAATCATACCAAACCGAATCAAGTCCTATCAAACCACATCGAATCGAGTCATATCAAACCGCATCATATCGAGTCATATCAAACCCTATTAAATCGGGTCATACCAAACCGCATCGGATCGAGTCATACCAAACCGCATCGAATCGAGTCATACCAAACTGCATCGATTCGAGTCATATCAAACCACATTGAGTCATACCAAACTGCATTGAGTCATACCAAACCGCATCGGATCGAGTCAAATTAAACCGCATCGAATCAAGTCTTATTCAACCGCATTGAATCGAGTCATATCAAACCGCATCAAATCAAGTCATACCAAACCCTATCGAATCTGGTCATACCAAACCGCATGGATTTGATTTATACCAAATCGCACCGAATCGAGTCATACCAAACCGCATCAAGTCATACCAAACTGCATCGAGTCATACCAAACCGCATCGAATTGATTTATACCAAACTGCATCTAATCGAGTCATACCAAACCGCATCGTATCATACCAAACCGCATCAAGTCGTACCAAACAGCATCGATTCTTACCAAACCGAATCGAGTCATACCAAAACACATCAAGTCATACCAAACTGCACCATTTCATTGCTAATTGGCACATTATTACTGTGACACCTGCTCAGAATCCCTTGCAGCCCAAGAATGATTTGATTTATTCACTTTTCTAACATGTTACTCAAAAATGCACTACGTTTTGTGTAGTATTTTAGCACCACAGGGTTATTTTAGTACATATACAATTCAAAAAATAAATCGTCTTTGTTGGATGTAATAAGATGCAAGCACCAACAAAATGCTTGTTTTTGTAAATCAAAAGAAGTTTATTTTTCCTACTCTCACCTATGGTCATGAGCTTTGGGTCATGACCAAAAGCACAAGATCTCGGATACAAGTGGCTGAAATTAGTTTCCTCTGAAGGGTGGCAGGGCGCATTCTTATGGATGGGGTGTGAAGCTCTGACACTCGGGAACAGTTCGGAGTAGAGTTGCTGCTACTCCACATCGAGAGAAGTCAGCTGAGGTGACTTGGGCATTTGTTTCGGATGCCTTCTGGACACCTACCTAGGGAGGTGTTCCAGGCATGTCCCACCAGGAGGAGGCCGCAGGGTAGACCCAGGACACGCTGGAGGGCCTACGTCTCTTGGCTGGCCTGGGAACACCTAGGGATCCCCCGGGAGGAGCTGGAGGAAGTGTCTGGGGAAAGGGAAGTCTGGGGTTCTCTCCTAATGCCGAGTTCAGACTGCATGATTTTCAAACTAGTCGTGTCACAGATGTGTTCACACTGCATGACTATCTGGGCTAGCGTTTCGTCGCTGCTTTGTTTACACTGCAAGATGGTTCGGCGACATGGACATTCACATTGCATGACTTTACTATAGGGAGAATAGGCGACAACTTCGTCCAAACTACGTCTCACAGCCAAAAACATGTAGTATATCTTTTGTTATTAACTACATAATGAAAAAGAAGACTTTAATGGGGTAGAAAATGTACATGTTTGCTCACCTGGGTTTAAAGGGAATTAGCCATTTCTCCTCAACGTTGATAATAAACTAATTTCTTTCTGTATGAAACGTCAAACAGACACGGTTGCTCCTGTGTCCTGTCAAACCTCCACTAGTTTTTCCTCCATTTCGTGGGTCCAAATAAACCAAAAAAGAGCGCTTTTAACTTCTCCCCCAGCCTCCCGCTGGCCTGCAGCAGGTACATACACACACACACACGCACACACAAGTGAAAGCTGCTCTCTCATTGGCTGTAGGTGATGGCTGATGTTATTTTCAGTCAAAACTCAATTCACACGGCATGATTTGAATCGCCGACAGCTCCAGATATTTAGCACGCCAAATATCTCACAGGCATCGGCGATGCATCGGCGATTTTCTCAGATCGCGTCTTTGATCGTTCATACTGTGTGATTGTCACTCACGTGCACGAGCAGCGATTTGCCTGTGATTTCAGGCATTTGTCGGCGATTTATCAAAACCTGTCGGCGAGCCAAAATCGGGGCTAAAATCACGCAGTCTGAACTAGGCATAAGACTGCTCCCCCTGCGACCCGGCCCCAGAAAAGCAGCAGAAAATGAATGAATGAATGAATAAAAAGTAGTTTTATGTTTTCAGCTGCACAAAAAGTTCTGTATCTTGTCAAGCTAATAAAATATTTATTAAGGTGTTTGCATGCAGAATTCAAAGATCTTTAAAAAATGTTTCCAATCCCATAGTTATGAATATGATTTCCATATGGTTTGACATGAAAAAATATTTAAGTGCCTGCTATCCCTTATCTTGTATCAGTCCAAATTGGGGCAATAAAAAATTTAAACCAGGTACATTAGATGCAGGATTCAAGATATGGGCATAGAAGGGAATTAGAAAAATAGGAAATTGTTAGTAAATACAATATTCCTGCAAAAACATTTAAGTATTTACAAACAAGAGATTTTATCATCGAAACACAAAATAATTCTCTAGATATGCCATCATTGTCTATTTTAGAAAAAGTAATAATAAAAGACTTAGCGAAGGTTAAATTTCTGCATTATACAATATGCTGGTGTCAGGATCAGAGGAATCGTCAAATTGTAAATTGGAAGCTTGGAGATTAGATCTTGAGGAGGATATTTCAACAGAGGACTGGATGAAGACATGCGAGGATGCTCAATCACTAACAATGAACGCTCGTCTGAAACTGTTACAATATAAATGGTTGATGAAGATTTACATAACTTCAGTTTTATTGCATAAATGTAATGAAAATATTCCAGATACTTGCTTGAGATGTAGGGAACCTAAAGGAACGTTGTCTCACTGTATATGGGAATGTAAGGAGTACAGAACTTTTGGAAAGGTGTGAAAGAAGTTATAGAAAATATTCTTGAGGTTAATATACCAATGTCTTCTTTAATTTTTTTATTTCAATTATATCCCAAGGAGATCAAGTTTAAAAAGACGGAGCATATATTTCTGAATATATGTATTCTACAAGCGAAACGGCTTATTTCTTTAAATTGGAAAAGTATATGTGCACTAACTATAGGCTGTTGGCTGAAAGAGATGGTAACAAACATGACAATGGAAAAAATAACTTATTTGATAAATAATAGATACATAACTTTTGATAAAGTTTGGCGACCTTTTACGCTGTTTTTAAAAGGTGGTGGATTTGGAAATGTTTTACTAGAAGATTAATAACTGGTGATTTTGTATTCTGAAGTAAAATACTGAGAAGCCTTTTGTTTTGTTTGTTTGTTAATTTGTTTGTTTGTTGGTTTGTGTTAAAACTGACACATGGAAATGTATATGTACATGTTAAAATATAATAAAAAGGAATTGGAAAAAAAAGGTGTTTGCATGATTGTGGTTTCAGTTGAAAAAGAGTAAACACCATTTTAAAGGTCCGCGAAAGGGGTGTAAATACAGTCTTTATTTAAACTTTTCCAAACTTTCCATCAGTTTTAGCAGCATTTTTACTTACTAGAAAGGTGTCCTCTAGTTGTTAGGCAATGGGTGTGTTTTATATTTTTTGTTTATAAGCCAGTACATTCAAGTTAAGTTGCATTATTTGTCAGTTATAAATGTTCAGTTTGTAAGGATCATCATCATACATGCTGTGAAGTGTTATGTAAGAGCTTTTCAATTTTCAGATTTGAGTTAATCTGCAACATTATTCAAGTGTTGCTGCAGATTTACTACAAAAGACACAGTAAGGAGACAGTGAAATCCCTTGTTCAATCCACTGTTTTGTTTTTGTCTCTTTCTGGCCGGATGTGTTTTGAAGGATTTAACAAGGAGGTCATTGGTTTATAAGGGGTGTGGTGCACTACATTCTGGGAAATACAGACTGAAAGAAGGTGTACTATTTGGTTGGTTGTTTTCTCGCTTAAACTAAAATTAGTCAGCGTCAGTGGAAAAACAACATAAATTGTAGCCTGGCTGTTTTCTGGCCTTTTTATAGCATCTCTGCTGCTTGATTTCTTTACCTGTGAAAGACTGGTGAACTGACAGCTTTTTTTTTTCTTCTTTTTTTCTAAGGTGTCATACATAATCCAGGCTCAAGGAAAAGAGCATGTTGTCATCCTAGAGAGAAATGAGTGAGTATTTTCCTTGCTCCTGCTGCTTCCTAGCCAACATTCTTGAATGCTAAAACTACATTTATACACTTCCTGAAAATATTAATGTTTGATCTGTATCAAACAATGCATGTAATTGTACAGTGAGAATTGATAAATTACATACTTTGGTAAAGACAGTGGTTCTCACCCAACAGTGTTTCTCACACTAACAGTACATGAAAAGCCTTCAATCATTTGAAGTCCTTGAAATCTCCTTGGGTCTGATTTATACATTTAAAATCCTAAAACTCAATGTACACCAGAATACATTTGAATTGATTTATTAATGATAACTGCTCATATAATGACTTAAAGGGGTTTACTGAGCACAACGTTTGCATGGGAAGTGGCGTACATATGTTTCTACCCCAGTTTTGTGTGTATGCCATGTTTATTAATGAGGAAAAACCCCAGGAATTTTAACCCTCTCAGGCTTAAATAAATTTTTAGAAGCAGGAAAAATCTGATATTTGGGGAAAATTATCATATGGGGTAGTACAATAGAATCCTGACTTTTTTTTTTTAGAGAGACCTTCACATGAAAGGCGTTCTTGGATGTTGCAGATTTGCAACATTGGCTCAGTGTGGTAATTAGACACTGACGACTGAATATGATATAAACAATAACTTTTTATACACAACTTTTCAAACAATGTAACAAATTGCTTCCCAGTGGCAGAACAACAACAAAAAAAATATGGGATCCAAATCCAATATCTCAAATCCTTATTAAGTAGGTCATGTTTCCAAGTCACTTTGTCATGTGGTACTCCAAGAAACTTTTTTTTTTTTTTTTTTTTTTTTTTTTTTTGTCATCTGGTGAGCAAGTGGGGAAACTGTTTGTTGCTAATGGACAACCAAGTCCTGCAGTGGTACGTTTGAGTAAAAAAAACTCATAAAATACGTATCTGGAGTAATAAGGTAGTTAGTTTTTAACTGTTGCAAATCAGCAACGCCTGCCTTTAAAGGGTTAATGTGTCTAATGTATCAGGATATATACACACTATATTGCCAAAAGTTTTGGCACACACCTCCCAATCCACATAGATATTTACATATTCGAATCACTTCCATGGCCACAAGTGTATTAAATCAAGCCCCTTGGCAAATATATACACTTAAAGCCATAGAAGAAATAGATTTTGTATATTTTTCCCCAATTTCTGTTTAACGGAAAGAAGTATTTTTCAACACATTTCTAACGTGATCGTTTTAATAACTAAGGCCCTATCATACACCCGGCACAATAAGGCATGGCAAGACTGTATTGTGCAATTTGTTGCTATTTTCACATCAGCGCCACTCTAATTTTCATGTTTTGTGTCGCTGTTTAAATAGTAAATCCATATTGGAGAATTATTGCTGAATAAACATTACTTACTAGAGCTGTGAACCTACACTGGTCTCACGGTTCGGTTGCGATTATCCTGCCATCAATTCGTCTCAATTTGATATCTTGGTGCATTGACGATGCTTTCCATACACAGTTTTATATTTTCTTCACAGCAGAATTCTTGTATTAAAATGTATGAATATATTTATATACTATTTGTAATGCAATTTTGTTATTTAATACAAACAGTCAGATATATAAACGGTACCTTTAAACAACACGAGCTTTTATAGCAATTAATATAAACAAATATAAATGTAGTTGCAAATATTTTGGTCGTTGGTTCTGACGTGTTTGTTGCTTGAACGGGTCAATAAAAAAGTGAAATGTCCATACCTTTGCAAATAAAGTTGGATATTCCAATCCATTTATTGTCCATTTTGTCAAGATTAAAAAGGGAAACATCAAAACAAATATAAACCCGTTCTCACAACCATGACGATCAAAACGTTTGTTTGACCTTCTTCTACGCCCCCCAACTTGTCGTGAGGAGAGCATAAATACCATATGCACCCTCTAGTGGTGCAAAAGAAAATTGCAACCCATAAATGGCTCCAACAATAAATATCCCGCTCGCTTTCTGATCCTTGTAAAAATATTTATTTGTTTTACAATTATTGGTTTCGTTTTATTTTACATTAAAACGTAACAATAAAATAAAGATGTTAATTCTGTTCATTCTTTTTTTTTTCATAAAAAACACTACAAAGAGTACCAATAAGAGAACTGTGAAGTACTGAACCGATAATTGGTGTCGATAAAAGTAGTAATACCGTTAAAACCTTAATGATACCCATCACTAGTTGGTTATGAACCCATCAAAAAAACTTTTATATCTGCCTGTTGGTTTGGCATGCCTTTGACAGTGCATCACTGTGCGTTTTTGCATTTTTATGTGACCCATCTATGTGTACAAGTTCAGTACAGAGAACAGCACACCTTGTGCTGCAAAATCCATATGTGTTTTTTTAAAGCCACTTCATCCATACACATAAATGTTATGCAATTTGTTAAAACACATTTACAAGTGCAGCAGACTAGCAGTCTGCCTTGCCTTACCAGTGGGCCAAATTAAACGTTTCAGTTGGCAAACAATAAAAAGAAAAGTACAACAGTTAAAATAATTCAGGTAAACCACTTTACATGGTATGAGGGGGTAAATATACATTATATAGATATAAAAAAACTCTTCACTTTTTCCACATTTTATGTTACAGCCTTATTCCAAAATTAATTAAATTCATTTCAAATTCATTCAAATCTACACACAATACCCCATAACGACAATGTGAAAAAATATTATTTGAAATTGTTGCAAATTTATTAAAATAAAAAAAAAAAAAACTGAAAAATCACATCTACTTAAGTATTCACAGCCTTTAGCTCTAAATAGAGCTCAGGTACATTCTGTTTCCACTGATCATTCTTGAGATGTTACACCTGTCTATATAAGGTCCCAGGGTTGACAGTGCATGTCAAAGCACAAAACAAGCACGAACTCTTTGGAGTGAATGCCAGGCGTTACGTTTGGAGAAAACCAGACATCGTTCATCACCAGGCTAATACAATCCCTACAGTGAAGCATGGTGGTGGCAGCGTCATGCTGTGGGGATGTTTTTTAACAGCAGGACCTGGAAGGCTAGTCAGGATTGAGGGAAAGATGAATGCAGCAATGTACAGAGACATCCTGAATGAAAACCTGCTTCAGAGTGCTCTTGACCTCAGACTGGGGTAATGGTTCATCTTTCAGCAGGACAATGACCCAAAGCACACTGCCAAAATATCAGTGTGCTTTTCAACAACTCGGTGAATGTCCTTGAGTGGCCCATCCAGAACCAGACCTAAATTCTTTTGAACATCTCTGATGAGCTCTGAAAATGGCTGTACACCGTCGCTTCCCATCCAACCTGATAGAGCTTGAGAGGTACAGTAAAGAGGAAGGAGCAAAAATTCCCAAAGACAGGTGTGCCAAGCTTGTGGCATCATATTCATACAGACTTGAGGCTGTAATTGCTGCCAAAGGTGCATCAACAAAGTATTGAGCAAATGCTGTGAATTCTTTTGTACATGTGATTTTTCTGATTTTTTTTTTTTTAATAAATTTGCAACAATTAAAAAAACAAATTTTTTTACATTGTCATTTTGGGTTATTGTGTTTAGAATTTTCGAGAAAATATAAATGAATTTAATCCATTCTGGAATAAGGCTGTAAAAGTAAAATGTGAAGTGAAGCGCCATTAATACTTTCCGGATGCACTGTATAACTAATTTTGAATAACAATGAAATTGAATTCACAACATTTGTTATTTAGTGTAAAATGTCTGGTAGTTTGATTGCAGTGTACAGTGCCTATAGAAAGTCTTCATGCACTGTGAAAATGTATACCTTTATCCACATCACACCATGTTTTCAAAAGACTCCTGAATTTTTTTTTTTTTTAGAAAGGCACAGGTTAGGAAAAGGCTACAAAAACAAATCAAAGTCTGGAATAGTTATTTGTAATGTGATTTGACTTCAGGCTGTATGAATCATTATTATGACGATTCCTAGCAACATGCAGCATCTTTGACAGATTGCCAGTTTTACTGATGTATAATGTGATTTGATGGATATAAATCTCTGTAAATGACAAAACATAGATTGTGTTGCGTTCACTCAACACATCCTGACTTGTTATAATAGTTAGACCAGGGGTCACCAACATGAGCTGCCCGCGGGCCTGTTCTAAAAATAGCTCACCATAACATATGAGTAAGCTGAATCTAATATTTTTATAGGTATTATTTTTAAATCACTCTTGCATTGGTGTAAATTTTAAAATTACTTTATGTTAGTTTTTAAAAAAACCTTTAAAAATAATTTCAGACAAATGAAGTGTTGCATATTGATATTTATCTACCTTGTTAAATCATTGTTGACAACTACTGTGTGAAATCATTAACATGATCAATGTCTTCACAGAGATGAATATTATTAATTATTAATAACAACATATAATTAAAAGTAAAATACAAAAAATCTGTTATTTAATAACTGGTAGCCCTTCACACTAATCGGTACCCAAGAAGTAGCTCTCAGTTTCCAAAAGGTTGGTGACCCCTGAGTTAGACTTTACAATTTAGACTTAACACTGAGTTCAAAAAGGTCAACCCAAACACCAAGCATTTCAAATTTTTGTTAACAAAATACATTTCAGACTGTAAGTAGGTGCACTACTATTCAATATAAGCTGACTGTGTGTGTTTGATGCGAGACTGTTATATTTCTGCAACAACGAATGCTCACATAGTTTTATGTTTGTTTGTTTTTTCCTAGATTGCTACTTCCAGAAGACTTCACTGTGTACTCTTATGCCAAAGATGGCTCGCTGGTCACGGAGAAATTAAATACGACTGTAAGTCTGAAAATGAATGATCTTTTTAGCCCACAAAGAACTTGCTTTTTAATACAAGTATCCAACAGTATCAGTTGTCTAGATTTACCTATATCTGTACGTCTTTCAGATGTGCACTGCAAAAAAAGTCTTCTTACATAGATTTGTTTTCTTGTTTCTAGTCCAAATATCTACAAATCCTTAAATCAAGAAGCATTTTCTAGACAAGCAAAACATATAATCTTGTTTTAAGAAATAATATGCCAAAATGAAGTGAGTTTTTCCTCAAATCAAGCAAAATAATCTGCCAGTGGGGTAAGCAAAATAATATTGTTTTTCGATTTGTGATAAGATTATTTTGCTTACCCCATTGGCAGATTATTTAGCTTGATTTAAGGAAAAACACTTCATTTTGACATATTATTTCATAAAACAAGACAATATGTTTTGTTTGTCTAGTAAATGCTTTTTGATATAAGAACTTTTAGATATTTGGACTAGAAACAAGACAAAAAGTCTAAGTAATAAAAGCATTTTTTGCTGTGTGTCTGTTTCTAAATAGATTAACATTTTATAAACAGAGACGAGGGAGCTAAACCACACATAATATTGTAAACTACACAAACATTTTTAAACTTGATGATGTTATCCCAAACTAAACTGTTTTTATCAAACATTTTAAGTGTTTGTTTGTATAATAGTTCCAGAGGATTTTAAAACTCTAGATTTTGTGTTAGTCTGACTTATCATACAATAATTCTTTTGAGAGACAATCATTTAATTAAATATAATAATAATAATAATAATTCCTTAATTTTATATAGCGCATTTCTGGACAGGCTTTGCACATTGGGGGGAATCCCCCATATATCTCCAAATAAATTTTTGCAGTCTTATTTGATTAAGAATTTCCAGTAAATCTAAAATTAATTATATTAAATTTGACCTATATCAATTTATATTGGACAAACAAAAAATAAATCTATGGGGGCTTTCACACCTAGACTTTTGTTTCGGAACCTGTCTTGTTTGACCAGTTAGCGCGGTTCGTTTGGCGTATGTGAATCCACCAACCGCGCTCTGATCCACGCCAAAACAATCGCTCTGAGATCGCTTGAATGAGGTAATCTCAGCTCAATTAAAACAAACTCTGAAGTGGATTGATTGTAGTGAGAAAGCAAATGCATTTGGTTGTCCAGTGTAATTGTGATGTCCATGACAAATAAATAAAAAAATAAAAATACTGACAGCTGAGCGGGACTAAACCATGAAATAAACCATGAAACTGACCAATGTGAGGAGAGTTTACTCGCACGTGGCTTGTTTAAGCTCTTTTGGTCCGTTTAGAAACTTTGCCGTGTGAAAGCGAAACGCACCAAGAACAAAGAGGAACAATGTAACTATTTTAATCCCTGTTTTGGAACAACTGAATCGATTCACAGGTGTGAAAGCACCCTTCGAATTTTGGTATTTCCCATTGATTTAAAAAAGAAGGTGATTTTTTTTTTTAACCACTTCGTTGTATCTGGTACTTTTTTTCTGTGTTCAGTCGGCAAACTTAACCAAAAAAAAAATTGCTCAGATTAAGAAAACTTTAAATATATACAGTAGTGGAAATAAGTATTGAACACGTCAGCATTTTCTTCAGAAAACATATTTCTAAAGGTGCTGTTGACATGAAATTTTCCCAGAATGTTGGTAGCAACCAAAGAAATCCATACGACTTCATTTGTAAACTAATTATTTTTCATTGCATATGTGTAATAAAATTAAATGACGCAGGAAAAATATTGAATACATGAAGAAAGGAAAGTGTAGAAAGGCAGTGAAAGCTCAGACAGCTCAGTGAAAATATCTCAGAAAAAAATCTAACCTGAGCAATGCATCTTACTTCATTCTTCATATAAAAGGTATCTTTAACCTGCCATCACCAAAAAAGCCTTTTATATGAAGTATTAAAGCCATTTCAGTAATCCGGTTCTTTCTCCTTGTGTCATTCCATTGTTATTATATAACTCATTTTTCAGATTTTTTTTTTGTTATGTTTTATTTTCATGTTTGTATTGTTTGAGTTTTTACCAAAATCTGGTTTAATTATTTTTAGAAAACTAGTGGTGAACCTTTACCAGTGTTGACTCTTATCAGGCGATTAAAAAAAATATCGCCGTTAATCTATTCTCAAAGTTGGGCTGGGAGCTGGGTCTATTCTACACAATAGTTATGCAATTTAATAACGGTAATCAAAATCGCTGTATTGCTGAGCTTACGTGTGCCCACAGTTCAAAATTCACCAATTATCATAGTAGAACAGTTTCTCAAGCAGTTTGTGATGCATTTTGGAAACGGGAGATGAGCCCCTGGTCTAATGCGCCACCTGGTTTGAGAAGCCTGTTCTCAAAGACTTACTTTTAGTTATTATTTGGGTAGCACACATATTCTAAATGCCTTCAGCAGAATACAAATGAGCCATTTTAATCTAGAATAATTCCAAGATTACAGTAAGATTAATCTAGATAAAAAAATGATCTATGCCCACCTATAATAAAAACTAAATGATTTTGCCCCAAAAATGCTCTAAGATGCTTTAGAGTTATATATATTTTTATGTCTCCCTATCATCACCTTGAGTCTGCACTTGAGAAATTGCTTGAGGAATGTAAGACACACAGGATATATGGTTTCATTCACAAAGAAGCAATGAGAGCCAGTAATGAAATGCTGCTACATTTCATTTATTTATCTTTTATATTTGAACCTCTCATACAGCAAAATTAAAACACACAGCTGTTGTCACATCACAAGGTGTATGTTATTTCCACCTTATTAGCAGCATGTCTACAGAACAGCACAGGAGATGAAGTGAGAAAACCGCTGCTGTGTCTGCTGTTGTAGCTGCTGATGTCATTTCCTCATGGGCCATGACCAAACACTTGCACTGCGTCCGATGCCAAGAACGGCAAAGCAGTTCTGGGAAGAGCTGCATTACTCACATTAACTGGAATCCAGTTTTACATGACTCTGAGAAGAGAACGAGGCACAAAACATCAATTAAAAACTACATTTAGGATAAAGTAAAAAGACAGAAATAGTGAAGCGATATGAGATGATGACTGCGATGATCAAACGTTAGCTGGGTTTATGTTTTGTTTTATCAAAAAATAGTTTTTAGGGGTGTAGCGATACACCAATCGCTCGGTTGTCTTTTTATCTTGCTTGCCTGAAGAGAGGCGTTTTAACAGAAAATAGCTTACAGAAAATATTATTGTGGGTTTGTAGCATCAGCTATTTGCTTTATATTTAAAACAAATTAACGGACTATGATTACTTTGTCTCATTATTTTGTCATTTGTTATACGTTTAAACTTAAACTTTCACTGGTTTTGGTGGCGTCTTGAAAATATTTTACAAATGGCAAATTAACCTTATGTACTGAGCATTTCAATATCCTTCCTTCTCATCTATATCTATATCTGGATGGGAGACCACTAGGGAACACTAGGTTGCTGTTGGAAGTGGTGTTAGTGAGGCCAGCAGGGGGCGCTCAACCTGTGGTCTGTGTGAGTCCTAATGCCCCAGTAAAAGTGAAGGGGACACTATACTGTCAGTGGGCGCCGTCTTTCGGATGAGACGTTAAACCGAGGTCCTGACTCTCTGTGGTCATTAAAAATCCCATGGCACTTCTCGTGAAAGAGCAAGGGTGTAACCCCGGTGTCCTGGCCAAAGTCCCTCTATCGGCCCTTACGATCATGGCCTCCCAATTATCCCCTTCCACCGAATTGGCTCTATCACTGTCTCTCCTCTCCACCAATAGCTGGTGTGTGGTGAGTGCACTGGCGCCGTTGTCCTGTGGCAGCCGTCGCATCATCCAAGTGGATGCTGCACACTGGTGGTGGTGTGGAGAGACCCCCCCTCATGATTGTAAAGCGCTTTGGGTGTATGGCCATACACAATAAATGCGCTATATAAATACACACATTACATTACATGTAATACATCATATGCTTCGTGAAGCACTTCAAGTCAAGCTTTGTTGTCATTGTGCTACATGTGTGGACATACAGAGGAATGAAATGCTGTGTTTCACAGGACAACAAAGCTACATAAAGTAATCATAAATGCAAACACAACACTGGACATAAGAGCTTTTTTAAAAACCTTTGCATAACTAACAAATGCTTTAAAATAAATAACTATACACATTCATTGTTCATATAAGGAGATAATTATGTATTGAGATGCATAATTTGAGTCAGTGGTCATGACCTAAATGAAGTCACTCATTTGGTAGAATTTTACTGAGACATCATATGGTTTTTTGGACTACCTTTCTGATCACAGGCTAAGCCAAAGTAATGCAAATTGTCAGTTTTACAGCATGGGGCGTCTATTGTTTTCTCTTTTCGATCAAATGGTCAGGCGGTTTCTGTCTCCAGAACATGATGAGATTAGACCTGAGAAGCAGTTTACCCTGCCGACCACAACTCTTGATTTGCATACTTTGTTTAGCTATATCCCCTCCTCCTCAGAACACAATATAGCCATGAAATCTTTGACTAATTCAGACTATTTTGCAGACCTGTGTGAGACTTGTAAAAGAACTTGCAGACTGCGGACCTCTAGTAGGCTCTTGCATGGACATAGACGCTGTATGACTGCAGATTAACCAACACGTCTCAATAAAGGAATTCTGCTTGTTTCGAGTCTCCTGGACTGGGTTCTCTCCTCTTCTTTTCATCTCATTTATTTTTTTTTTACAACACTACCATGCTCTCTTAATTGAGCTACAATTTTAAAAATTGGATGAAGGAAAAATGCGTAGAGCGCGATGTCATGTGTGCTCAATTTCAGTTTAGTTTTCTCTCTGTTCTGTTTTCCTTACCAGAGCTATTTATGTTTATACAAAATTTCTTTCTGGTTGTCGATTCTAACCTGCAGCGTTCCTCATTGTGAGTTTCATGGCAGACTAAGCCATAGTTTGGCTGCTGTCGTGACTTACACAAGAGCAGCCTTATTAGCTACAGTGTAAACATTCACATTTCAAATCATATTATGCATGAGATTACATTCTTATAATATTGTACATACAATTTACAGCATAGTTGACATTTAAATGCAATACAAATCTGCCTTTATTTTGTTCATCTTTTAGGGGAGGGGGTGCAAGGATTCTGTCCAAGGAATGAAGTCATTTGAATCACGATTCCTGGCTTTGTGTGTTCAGTTTCTCCTGGGAAGAGTGAACATGACTTATTGGCAAAAACCTGGAAAAGATAGCCCGTATCATTAGAAAACAATAAAATAATGACAACAATAATAATAAAAAAAACTATTACAAATTATTGAAATAAATGAGATTTTATTGGAAAAATTCAGACAGACAATACTAATCACTAAAGTCTGAATTATCAGATATAAATTTTTATGCTGATGGGGGGAAAAAAAGGCAAAATTGTGAAAAGGAAAAAATTATCAACGTTAATATTAGTACCACTGCAAGTAATATTTTAACATAATAAAATACATTTGCAAGTGTGCATTTGTGAGCATTATGTTTGAAATATTGTTTAAATCAAGATTATGCTGTAAAAGGGTAATCATAGCTGTTTTCATTGATGGTAATGTGTTCGTTTAACATAAGAACTACCAAGTTTTATTAACTTTGTAGTGTAATAACTTTGTTGAAAAAAAACACACTTAACTGTTGTTTTCTTACTATGGACGTCAGTGATGTCTACTTTTGTGTTCAATTGAAGACTCAGAAAAGTGTTGTAACCAGCTCTTAAACATGGCGGGTTTTTTGTTTTCATTCTGGCTTGTTGCGTAAGCGAATGACGTATCTCTGTAAACCAATAGCGTTCAGCTGCGCGTTTAGCTCCGCCTTTTGGTATCCTTTCTCATGTTTGGTACCCTTTCAAAAGGGTGCCAAAAAAGTGGTACGATACGGTTCGGTACGCCTTTTGACAGTGGAAACGGCCATAAAAGCGTACCAAACCATACCATATCGTACCACTCGGTTAAGTATTAATTAAATAACTTCTCAGTTTGGCTGGCCATCATGTTAATCCTGTGAGATCTATCTGAAATCAAAAATATCATATATATTCTAAAGTAATTAAGAAAATGATGTAATATAATTAAGAAAATGACCATTTACCAAATTAATAAGAAAATAATAAGCATTTAATTTGGAAACTATGCAAGTGTGCGTCTACTTATGGAGTGCATTCTGGAGAAACACAGAATTTAAAACTAAAATATTGTATTATTCTGTTAGTCCAAAACATGCTTCATGCATATTTTAAAAATTTCATAAAAATTAAATGACGTTCCCAAAATGTTGTAGCATTGTCATTTTTAAAATAACCTAAACAACAAAGCATTTTAGGAAATTCTGTATTTACTAATCTCACTCGTGATTCTGCAAAATAGTTTACAGTTCCTTATAGGTTATTTTTAAAATATCTCTGCTTCAATGTTCTGGGAACTTTATGGTTGGAAGATAAAAGCCTACAAATAACCATGAGGGGTGTTCTGTACAAATTACTTTTAGGTTATTTAAAAATAACCACCCCTGTAATGTTCTAGATTTAGTTATAATGATATTAACTTGTATCTATTTTGATATATCAGAACTATACATTTTCAAAGCTGGTGTATAACAAGAGTTATCCTGTTTAGATGCCTCTTTCACAACCTCGGAAATTAATTTACCAAAGTAATATTTAAATAAACTGATGGAAAGAGCATCACTTATGAAAATGGTGTTTTTCAGAGCAGAAAAGCAGAATCCATTATTTAAAGCAGAGGACAGAAGCGTGCAATAGGAGTACTACTATACATTTTAGAACTGCATGGCTATAAGAAAGGAAATGATTACACAAATGCTCAGAGGCAGTTAGGTATTAAGGTATTGATATTATCTACTTTAAGAGAATGATCTAAAAGAGCTGTCTCGAATTTTTTTGATATAATACAGGTAGCATATGTGTAACTAGCACTTGTCAAGAACTCTGTATGACCTTTACATGAGATCCAGGGAGGCTTTAGGACTCTGCCCTAATTCAACAAATACTGTTCCTTAGAAACACACGTTTAAACCATGACTGTTTTCTCTTCAGTCAGGCCTTTAACTTTTACAATAATTATGATGAGTTGATCAGGTAGTGATAACTTTTCTGCACTCTTTATGTTCACGCTTTGTTAGTTTTACTAAGTTCTGTTTATCAAAGTTCACCTATGATTCAAAGTCAAATTTTTGAAGCTCAAATTGTCATACAGTCATATTAAAGTGATAAACACAAGTTTCTTTTTTTTTTTTTAATTTCCAGATGTTAAAATAGGACTTAAATTCCAGCAATTTTGAGGCCCACCGCAATGTGATGGAGTGGGGTTTTCCCCGCCCTCCAAACTGACTGACAGCCACATGTTAACTTGTCTCTATAGTAACGTATAAATATGTCCACAAAACAGAATTGGCAAAGAAACTATAATTAAAAGATCTGTGCCGACTCTCTGTGATCAGCTGCAACTCAAAAATAAGTTTTACAAGTTTAAAACGTTTTTAAAGCAGTGCATGTTTGTAATAAATAGAAGACGGTAAAATCACTATCTGCTGGAATTACCACAGCTGTGCCAGAGGATGTCTCAAACTAGGGCTGGGAAATTTGGCCTAAAATCTAAATGTTGATTAATTGAACATTTTCCCTCAATTACAATTAAATAACGATTATTTTATTTATTTATTACATGTTTTGCCCTCATAGTTCACTGACAGGTTTTGTACAGTAACTATGCTTACATATTACAAGTGAGAGATTAATGAATGAAGGGTGCATTACTTGATTTTAAAATGATTGAAGTAAACACACACTATCTACTATCTATGATTATTTATTAAACATTAACATTAAACCACTTAGACTAAAACACATATGAATAGTCACTTTTTTCTTATAAATAATGAAAATATGAATAAACAGCGGATGCTCTTCCAGCTGCAACCCATCACTGGAAAAGCCAGCAGAGATATAATTAGCAATAATCAATAATTAATTAATTATTATTATTAAGAATATTAGGAAAATCAGGAAACGTCAGAAAATGCAATGAGATTGCAGTGATTTATTTTTTATTTTATTTATTTATTGCCTTTTGGACTTTATCTTTTGTTTTGTTTTTTGGACAACTGACGTACCTGATATAAGCATTTATGGTTTAGTTGTTTTCCTTTTTGAATTCATATGCATACCTTTGATTTTGTGGAACTTTTAATGTTCAAAGTTGGAAATTCCAATATGGTAACAGCAGAGATAGGGCAGGACCAATCTCATCATGTTTGTCTTTGGTTGAAGTTGCTGTACTTTAGACCAGCTGGAGACTAGAACCTGGCAACCAAAGGCAGTGCATTAAAGGTTTTCAGGAGATTTAATACATGAATGGACATTTGGAATTGGGAACATACATCATCATTTACAGATATGGTTTAGGCTTTTAAGCTAAAGTACCTCTTATTTGGGAATCAATGCTTTTTGCTTTTGTATTTCTGAACTGATTTTCTCGAGCTGCTCCGTGTCTGATGTCACAGTCTGATTCATTTGCTCTGAAAAGGGCTTGTTTTCTGGCCACACTCACATTTCACCATGAACACACAGCATTAAAGAAACACATGACTCATTGTTATATGTGCTCGCTAATGCATTCAGAAAAGTATAACGATTAGCAGTTATTGAATGCTAAAGCAGACAGAATTGAAGTGTGTATGTTTTCTTTAAATCAGTGTGTTAGTCTATAACAGTCTAGTTCGCCTCTAGTGGAAAACTGCTGCTTTCTAGCTACGGTTTGTTACCTGAAGAGCAAACACCCTGAGCTGCATTTAGGTTCTGAATGCTAAGAATGTTGCTGGTTGTTATTGAAGACATTGAATTTTTATTATATTTTTTTAATTCTTGATTTATTTTACTGAGGTGTATTTTTCTCTCTATTTTTCCCATCAGGATCATTGTCATTATAGTGGTTACATAGAGGATGTGGAGGGCTCTTCTGCAGCACTCAGCCTGTGCTCTGGGTTAAGGTGAGATCACTTTAAATGGATAGAGGGCAAAACTGTTGCTTTAAAAAAAACATTATTAAATGTCTTAAGTTTTATGTTTGTACAACTCATGTTATTAAACTCAGATAGTATTCTTGCATTAAAACAAATGCAATAATATAATATAATATAATATAATATAATATAATATAATATAATATAATATAATATAATATAATATTATATAATATAATATTATATAATATAATCAATTATTTATTTATTTATTTATCTATTTATTTTTACTTATTTATTTATTTTAATCTCATAATAACAGTAATAATAAAAAAAATAGTCGCATTTTCATAATCTAGTCAGATCTCAGTGGATAAATTAAATGAAAATAAATGACTGTCTGTCTTGGATTGGATTGTGACATTTTTAACATTTTTGTAACGTCTTTAAATTTTGAATGCATTTAATATTATTCTTTTATTTCTGGCAGTTGATTAAACTTATTGTTAACAGTTTAACCATGCATATGTTTAATAAAAAAAATAATCTAAATGTCTTATACTCACTGTATACTCACGGATTTCTCATTTAGTCCACTTAAAACTGACCTTTTTTGTCAAAGAGTTCCTTCAGCTCTGCCTCCATCAAATCCGTAACTTGTCTACCAAACCCTCCCTAAATGAATCTTCTTATTTTTATTATTTTAAACAATCTGTTTCATTCTGCTGTATGTCACGACCAGCGTCGGGTGCTTTCCCTTAAAAGAGTAATTACTATAGTTACTTCTCCCAAATAGTAACTGAGTTAGTAACTGAGTTACATAATTATAAAAGTAACTAATTACCAGGGAAAAGTAATTATTGTGTTACTTTAAAAAAGTCTAATTTGTCAAATGACTATAAAATAAATATAAAACATTTTACACTAATCCAGTGGTTCCCAAAGGGGGTGTCGGGATCCCCTAAATATCCGTATCTTGTACCTGTTTCTATATATAAGTGTGTGGTATCTATGTGCTTTAGGGGTGTTATTCACACGGAGGGCACCAGTTTTGGAATCGAACCGCTGGAAGGTTCCTCCAGTGATGAACATTTGGTGTATCGTTTGGAGGACGTACAGACACAACCTCTCAACTGTGGAACCCCTCACTCTTATAACCATGACGACCAATCTTCACCAAGGCAACCTATAATCAGCCATACCCATAACATCACGTTTGGTCAAGCTGGCAGCCATTTAAGGGTGAGTCACTCTAAATCCCAGCAATTACACAATGATGACGCTGATCTACATTCATTAGAGATTAGTCTGCTTCATAGATAAAAAGATATGTGTGGGATTCAGATATGAAATGCATGAAAATACAATTATAAAAAATATATTCTCTATTAAAAATGTCTAATTATCTTAGCTTATAATATACAGTGGGTACAGAAAGTATTCAGACCGCCTCACATTTTCATTTGTTATATTGCAGCCATTTGCTCAAATGACTTAAGTTTCTTTTTTCCTCATTAATGTACTAACTTCTACCAAATAGAGTGGAGGTATCTGATGCATCGCTGCTTCATAGTTATGCCTTATGTTCTAGCCTACAGAATTTTTGGTGCAAAATATTTAATGTTTTTTTTCTGAAATCACAGGGCCAACTATTGATCCAGATGAATTTTTAATTGTGTTTGGGGTTTCAAAGCACGAGCTTGGATTGTCCAAGTCTCAGCAACAAATAATTTCTCATGGCCTTTTAACAGCCAAAAAACTTATTCTGACATTCTGGAAAAGTAAATCTCCTCCCGCTTTCAAATTATGGCTCAGTGAACTCACAAACACACTCCATTTAGAAAGAATACGGTACCATTTACAGAATAAAAAGCCAAAATTTTTTAAAATATGGGAACCTTTCATAAGGTACTTGGAAGGGAGAGATGGAACAGTGGTTTGATGCGGATATTGTTAAATCATATGGAAGCTCCCATTTTCAGTAATCTTCCTTACGGGTGTGCACTACAGATGGAAACTGACGGGTGGGGGGATATTATAGGGTAGGGGTGTCAAAATTAATTGTTTCTTCGGTGCACCGCGATGCAGACGCGAACAATTCGGTATCTGTTCAGTAATAATCATAACCGGTTATTATGTACTGACGTCATTTATCTCCTGTGCGCTCTGGTGGGAGGTGAGCGCGAGTATTTACAACACTCAGCCAACTCAGGGCCGGCCCGTGGCATAGGCACCAAAAGCAAATGCTAAGGGCGCTGTATATCCAGGGGGGCGCCAGAAATGAGCGCGCTTCAGTTGGTTTTGTTTTCAATATTCCTGACACACATTCAGTTATAGATGGCAATAACTAAAAAACCTCTTACCCTAAAAAGATCTAAAGTGTGTTTCTTACAAAAAGACAAAGCTGGTTATGTTTCACAGCTGTCTTTTTATTTTTTTCGCTCTATATTACGACCACTGCTCCGTTTAAGCCCTCGCAACATTTGTTTAGCCGGGAGAGCTGGCGTTGAGAGGAGCTCTCAGCAAGGGACCGTCGGAAAAGTGCTTATTTTTTTTCGGTTTTTTTTGTTTTTCTGCTCCGCTCAGCGCGAGCTCTCCCTGTTGCGAGGGCTTAAGTGTGTGCGTGCGTGCGTGCATGTGCATGTGTGTGTGCGTGCGTGTGTATGTGCTTTCGTGTGTGTGTTTGTTTGTTTCTTTGGTTCTGTCTATGTTTGTGTATGTGTTTGAATGAGAGACAGTGTTGTACTGTGTGTTTATACAGACAGCTTGTTATAGCCTCCCCCTAAAATATAACACTGTATTGGAAAGCATCGTCAATGCACCGTGATGCATCGAGATATCGAATCGAACCGAATCGAATGCATGATAATCGTAACCGAACCGAACCGTGAGACCAGTATAGGTTCACACCTCTATTATAGGGTATTATTTTCGTTTACATACTGTGATCTATTTTGTTTGAGTTTGTATATATTTTGTTCTTCTTTTCCTTCTGTAATGGTAACTAAGTCTTTTTTTATTTTCTCTGTCAATTCAGATAATGGTTTACATATTCATATGTAGACAATGTAAATTGTGTTTGTAGACCAAGGGAAAAAATTGTATGTACATGTGTGTGTGTATGTATGTGTATGTGTGTATCTATGCCTGTATATGTGTGTATGTGTATGTATATATACATATAGACATGTAGTTGTAATATAATCACTTGTACCTAATAATTATAGAAGGAAATATTTTGTTTTAATTTATTTTAATTTATTTTATTTTATTTTTTGCATAACGACATTCTGTAATTGTACATATTCTCCCAATAAAAAAAATTAGTGGAGGAACTATGATGTTACCTTGTAGGCTAATCGGCTGCTAGCATAAAACTGGTTCCCTCAATAAAATCCCTACAGGATTTTCCCATAGGCTTTTTGAAAATTGTAAATAATAAGCTCTAGGGTCAAACATAGTTCATTACACTTACACATTTTGTCCAACCGGTTAATCCTCGCACAATAGTATAACTTTTATCACTTTAGGATCTTAAATGCAAATGGAAGAATTGAAAAGCTAACATTAGGCTATAAGCGGACTACACTGACTTCAGGGCGCTCACTTGCTACATCAGCACCACAATGCTAACGACAACTTTTCAAGCTTATTTTTAGAAATATGGTCCCTGACAAAGACTTACTGTCTCGGTTTATTATATTCTAAACAAATTCAAATGCTCAAAAAACATCTGTATAGATATATATTAAGTTTTTTTCAACACATTTCTAAACATAATAGTTTTGATACCTCATTTCTAACAATTGATTTATTTTATCTTTGCCATGATGACAGTAAATAATATTTGACTAGTTATTTTTCAAGGCACTTCTATACAGCTTAAAGTGACATTTAAAAAGGCTTAACTAAGTTAATTAGGTTAACTAGGCAGGTTAGGGTAATTAGGCAAGTTATTGTATAACAATGCTTTGTTCTGTAGACTGTCGAAAAATATATAGCTTAAAGGGGCTAATATTTTGTCCTTAAAATGGTGTTTAAAAAATTTAAAAAACTGCTTTAATCTAGCCAAAATAAAACAAATAAGACTTTTTCCATTAGAAAAAATATTATCAGACATACTGTGAAAATGTCCTTGCTCTGTTAGACATCATTTGGGAAATATTTAAAAAAGAAAAACAAAAACAAATGGGGGTAATAATTCTAAAACCAACTATAACTACTTATTTAAATAACTATATTATATAACTATGAACCCCTTCTCTTTCTCTCCATGATGCTTTATTTTGTCTCTGCTTCTACAAACTGGGATAGGCTTCAACTTTATGCAGATTCTTTATGTGAAAGAGATTGTGTAAATAGTAGCTACCTCTGGTCCTGCTTACCTAAAAGGTTATTCTGTATAAACAAAAGGCATTGTAAAGACTTTGAAATCTGTGAACATAGTTTATTCTTGTTCACTGTCTACTCTCATGTCACTGCAAGCAACTATTGTCACTGTTCACACCAGCACGAGGCATCTCTGCTCATTCTGTCAAAATAAATTTATATTCCATTGCAAAATAAACCACTGAGTAATAAGAGAACATGACACTGTATGACTCCTAGAGCTGTGCATTCAGCAGTGTATGCTGTTTACAATACAGCATGTAGATTTAGATCAGGGGTCACCAATCTCGGTCCTGGAGGGCCGGTGTCCCTTCAGGGTTTAGCTCCAACTTGCCTCAACACACCTGCCTGGATGTTTTAAGTATACCTAGTAAGACCTTGATTAACTTGTTCAGGTGTGTTTGATTAGGGTTGGAGCTAAAATCTGCAGGACACCGGCCCTCCAGGAACAAGTTTGGTGACCACTGATTTAGATAATCCATGACTACCAAATTGGAAAATGAGTTACTGCATTAATCTTGACAGTTTTGTTCTATGTTTGCTACAAACTCTCTAACATTTTGGTTTGTAGCGTGCACTTGGCTTATAAAAGCTTGTGAGTATAATAAATGCACATGATAATCTGATAAGAGGATAAAAAAACACCTTCTGTTCTGTAAATAAATCTCAGTCATAATCGTGTCAGTCTTAAAATGTACATAGAGTTGAATTATTAGCCTTCGTGAATTATTAGCCCTTCTCTATATTTTTCCCCCAATATCTGTTTAATGGAAAGAAGATTTTTTTCAACACATTTCTAAACAATAGTTTTAATTGCTTATTTATAATAACTGGTTGCTTTTATATTTGCCATAATGACAGTACATAATACTATGTACTATGAGATTTTTCAAGATACTAGTATTCAGCTTAATGTAACATTTGCTTAATTAGGTTAACTAGGCAAGTTGGAGTTATCAGGCAAGTCATCGTATACCTATGGTTATACTGATGGTTAACATGGTAACAATCGTTATACTAATAATTTTGACCTTTAAATGTTTATTAAAAAGAAATAATATTACAGGAAATACTGTGAAAAATTCCTTGCTCTGTTAAACATCATTACCGGCATAACCGGCAGCTAGCTCTCTGCAACTCTCACATGGTCGTCCACTGAAGCTAAGCAGGGCTGCGCCGGGTCAGTACCTGGATGGGAGACCACAAGGGAAAGCTAGGTTGCTGTTGGAAGTGGTGTTAGTGAGGCCAGCAGTGGGCGCCCAACCTGCGGTCTGTGTGGGTCCTAATGCCCCAGTATAGTGACAGGGACTCTGTACTGCTCAGTGAGCGCCGTCTTTCGGCTGAGATGTTAAACCGAGGTCCTGACTCTCTGTGGTCGTTAAAAATCCTTTCGAAAAAGAGTAAAGGTTTAACCCCAGCATCCTGGCCAAATCTGCCCACTGGCTTCTGTCCATCATGGCCTCCTAACCATCCCCGTATTCTAATTGGCTTCATCTCTGTCTCCTCTCCACTAATCACCTGGTGTGTGGTGTGCGGTGTGCGGTCTGGCGCAAAATGGTTGCCGTCGCGTCAACCAGGTGGATGCTGCACACTGGTGGTGAATGAGGAGATTCCCCCCATTGTAAAGTGCCCAGAAAAGCGCTATATAAATGTAAGGATTATTATTAATTTTTATTAGGAATTATTGTCATTTGTGTAAATATTTGGAAAAACAAATTCACAATTGACTTCAACTGTATATCCATTCTGCTTCACTTTTCACAGACCTCTATACAGTTTTTAGTTCTCTGACATCAAATGATTTGGATCTCGACTTTATTAAGCATTAGGAAATAGTGAATTCAATATCTGTTAAGCATTAACTCTACATTAATAGATGTTAGTAAGCAGCTTTTATAAATGTAAATGCAAATGCTGTATTTCTGACTTACAGGCGCATGTATAGCGTGCTTAATAATTGTACTTTCATAATTTGTTAATGATTCATTTTTCATGACTAAATTAAGTATTGTATTATTTACAAACCAGTTATTTAAGCATAGTTGGTGTTTTTTTTTTTTCAAAATCATTCAGAATGAGTTAGTAAATGATTAATAAACTATTCAGAATAACATTCATAATTCTTATTATTCAGGCATATACTCATAGTTGATTTGTATGGCAATAAATGCTTTAGTAACTCAACTTCATCCAGTTTGGTGACCTAATCTAAAGTGAGGACTATGTATGATTTATAAATCCCTTATTAATAACAGTTAAAGGCTCAGTTATCGTATAAACAGGAAACAAAAAGAACATAAATGACTTTATTCTTTTCTATTCATTTGAAGATACACAAATGAAACTGTACTTCAAATGAAAAATAAATCTTTGCAACCTGATCTAAAATAAAATTACTTTACAGTTTAAACATCGCTAAAATCATTAAAATGTTGTATCCTAATATATTGTTGAACTATTACATTGCTGTTGTTTTATCCAATTTGATGTTATATTTTGACACTCCTGTTATTTGGCAATGTTTAAACATTACCGTGATTTAAAATTTTTAGATAAGATTGCAAAGATTATTAATCAGATTACTTAGCCTTTAATTGTCATTTATAAGAGATTTACGAATAATAAATAGTCCTCACTTTAGATTAGGTCACAAAATTACGTTGTGTTAACGTAGCACAAAAAGTTGTGTTAATAAAGCATTTATTAACATGCAAATTAACTATTAATATATGCCTGAATAATAAGATATATAAACGTTGATTTTAATAGTTTAATAATCCTTTACTAGCTCATTTTGAATCATCTTTAAAATACCACCAACTACTCTTAAATACGATGAATTTGCTCTTCAGTGTTTGGACTCTCAGTAATGACTTTAAACCACACTGAACTGAGCTAAACTGAACTGAACTTAAACACTAAAAACTGAACTACCCTGATCCAGTTACTATGACCATTCACGTGAAGCTGCTTTGACACAATCTACATTGTAAAAGGGCTATACAAATAAAGCTGAATTGAATTGAATTTAATTAGTTTAGTACTGAAAAATCAAACAGTCACAAATTATGAAGAGTACAATTATTATGCACATTATAAAAGTGCTTCTAAGTCAAGAATAAAGCTTTTGTAGCTGTATTTATATACTGCTTGCTGATGTCTATTAATGAGAGTTAATTCCTAACAGATAATGAATTAACTATTTGCTAAGGCTTAATAAACTATTCATAGTGTGTAGTTATTATAAAGTGTTACCAGTTTATTTTGCAACATAATCTAACATCACCATTCTTCTATTTTGTTATTTTTAGAAATACATTTAAACACTTATTAAAGCAAAGCACTTTTTCATAATACTAAGAATAATATGCCTATCTCACAAACATGGCGATCAGGACTGGAATGGGGAAGCATTGTTTCCGGTTGCCCAGCTGCCACTACTATCGCTATTCATTTATAATAGACTTTGAACAGATTAGTTTCCTATCATTCATTATTTACCTGACAAAGTCAATAAGTAATGTTCCGCTCGTTCTGCCCTCACAGCTCTTGGCTCCGCCCCACTCGCTACAATTATTATTTCAGTTATTGTTATTATAGTGACGCTTGCCTTTGCAAACACCGCTGAAAATAAAACTAAAGTCTTTGTCTGTCTGTCCAAACAGCGAAAGAGGGCAGTGCTACACCAGACACACTATGTGGAGCTTCTGATGGTGGTGGATAATGAGAGAGTAAGTCATGTAAAACTTTTCCTTTCCTCATTGTTTGATGGTTATGTCACACTCAGCACGTAGCTTTTAAACTGTGAACAGTTTGTGTGAGGCTATTGAATTGAAGTAGCCAAGTGAATGAAAATGTTTGATTGCCCCTGTCTCAGTCAATAAAGTATAAATGTGGCATGAGAAATGTCTAGTTTCTGAAAAATCATAATTTATTTTTTCCCTTTTTCTCTTTTTTTTAACAGTATAACTACAAAAACAGGAATCATACAGCAGTACGCGAGGAGGTGGTGCAGATTGCCAACTATGTTGATAGTGTAAGTTTTCCTGCTTGTTTTAATACAGTATGAATGCAAAGAATGCCTTTTTATTCGAGACTACTCGTGTAAATATACAGTTGAATTATTAGCCCTCCTGTCCTTCCCCAATTACTTTTTCATGGATTGTAACACATTTCTAAACATACTAGTTTTAATAACTCATTTCTAATAACTGATTTCTTTTATCTTTGCCCTGATGACACTAAATAATATTTTAGGAATTGGATATTGGTCAGGGATTGGATTAGGGAATGACGAGGACTCGATTGCTTGGCACAAAAACATGGTTTTATTAATTTTAAAATAAAACAAAAACAACCCCGATGGGGAAAACATTAAAAAAAAGTGTTCTGACGGGGAAAAGCAGGGCTGGACAACAAACTCGGACAGTACACCAGACGTGAGGAGAAAATAAAGGAGAAATAATTAACAAACAGGTAAACTAAATCAACTTATAATGGGTTAACAAGGAGGGTGGGACTAGTCAATAGACAGGAGAGCACATGACTCAAAAAAACAACACAAATCAAGAATAAAACACGCAGCCGAAGAGAGAACTTATTAACCGCGTGTTCACATGAAACATGACAGTAAAGCATGTGGGCACAATGTAGGCACTAGGCCACATGCTTTAACAACACAAACAGAATGCAAGGCGCAAATACACGATAAATAAAAACACACACACATGCAATGTGCATGTTTCATCCCAGTGCAAACCGAAACCAACTAGACGCTAAGAATGAAACGGCACACAGCCGACAGAACAAACACTAAAACCAGGATGAGAGTGCAGCCAAGACGTAGCATACAAGCACTCATACAAAAGACGAAGACGAAAACTCAAACCGAGCACAACATATAAGACAAGACAGGACTAATGTCTGGACTCAAGACCGAAGTGGCAAAATCCTGACAAAGACACTAGCACTCAGCTTAAAGTAACATTTAAAAGCTGGTTAATTAGGCAAGTTATGGTAAATAGGCAATGATTCTATAACAGTGGTTTGTGCGGTAGACAATAAAAAATTTCTTGCTTTATTAAGCATAATTTGGGAAATATTTCAAAAAGAAATTACAATTCAGAGGAGGGCGAATAATTTTGACTTCAACTGTATGTAACTTGTAAAATGCAAGCTGTTTAAAACTCTGTTAAGCCAGTGTTGGGTCAAATATGGACAAACACAACAGTTCAGTTTAATTTAAATTTTCATAACTAAATTGTTGGGTTTGTCCATATTCGGCTCATATTCATTTTAGAGTGTAGTCATCATTTATACATCACTAAACAGTCATTATTAAGAGAAGGGAGATCATTGGGAGAGGTTTTACTGTAGTATTTCTCTCAAACGTTATGTGAGATCTGCTTCCTAAGTGTCTGTATGTTGTCTGATGCAGCAGAGGGTGGAGATTAAGGCCGTACTCACACTATGCACATGTCACAGACTCGGTCCCAGTTAATCCACTCACCAACCAGCAGAGGTCCCGCTCGCCCGACTACTGAAGTCAAACGAACTCCATTACCCACAAGACCCCGCGGGACCTTGATTACCGTCCAGCTGAAACGTATACACACACACACGCATATAAGCCCTTCTCGCCATGTCATTCAGTGCGAAGTCTTGTTTTGCTCTGCATTCAATATTAAGCGTTTTCCAAATTATCTGACTGTTTACTATTGCCGACCCGGACCGATTGTTTACCTGTGATTCTATGCTGCCTGCCCAGATCCTAGCCTGTATCCTCTTCTATGTATTCCTGCTGCCTGCCCACAACTTTGCTTGTGACCCGACTTTGAGTGAGTGCCTTGATTTACCCATCTCGACTGTGAAACGTATACCTGCTTTTTTATTTGTGTTACTTTCAATAAAGACGCTGCAAATGGATCCCACTTCGTCTGACTCTTCATCACAGTACAGTTGTCTCGAACCATGCCAAAGCACGCTTCTCCACCCTCCCGTCTCCCCCGACGGCCCGCACTCACATTACAATCTGGCCTGGGCACGCTTACGTCATCGATGCTGCGATGTTCAGTAAGCGCTCTTGCTCAGCACAATGGGGACTTCTCTAGTTATATCGTTTCAGTCGTTTGATATGCGGTGACACGCTGTCAGATATTTTGCAGATCTGCCACTTTTAGCGCTCATAAACAAGCAAAAAAGCCCTCGTGTTGCAGGAATGAAGAGGTTTGCTGAAGGTGCAGCTATCTTGCAGTGACGGGTTTGCGTATTTAATAAACTGGGGCAGTTTGCGTTCATTGAACAGTAAGCTTGATTAATAAATCCATATGAAACAGTCCTTTAAAGTCACGTCTCGCTTTCAGTTTCGGGCTTTTGCATGTTTTGCACTCACAGTACAAGCATACCGTGCCAAAGCCCAAGTGAACCACACTCAGGCTCACCTCTTCCAACCGGGCCAGGGCCGGCCAAGTGAACCGTGCCTGAGCCTGATTCAGCACACTCACACTTCTCAAACTATCCGGAAACGGGGCAGTGCACGGTTCGGATAGCATAGTGTGAGTACGCCCTAAGGCAAACTGACAGGCACATGGGAACGGTGGGCGGGGAGGACTAGCATTAAAGGCACAGTCCATGAAAACCACTACCTGATGTTCAGAGCTATAAAATAGAAACTTCTGAAAGGTCTAATAAATAATCTGATGGGTGTTTTGAGCTGAAAATGTACAAGAATGTACTTGAAAAATACAAGCTGTTTAAAACTCTGTTAAGCCAGTGTTGGGTCAAATATGGACAAACACAACAATTCAGTTTTGTCAATTTTGACAACCAAATTGTTGGGTTTGTCCATACTTGGCTCATAATCCTTTTAGAGTGTAGTCATCATTTATACATAACTAAACAGTCAATATTAAGAGAAGGAGTAATTGTCTTATTTGATTTTCATTCTGCTTCCTATTAGATGTATATACCACTGAATATTCGAATTGTTTTGGTGGGGCTGGAGATCTGGAACATGCAGAACTTGATCAATATTGATGGCAGCGCTGGAGAGGTGTTGAGCCGCTTTACGCAATGGAGAGAAAAAGAGCTTGTTCATCGTCGACGCCATGACAGCGCACAGCTCATCCTGTAAGAGCATTTCTCTGTTGCAATTGTTATCAAATGTTAGAAGTAGGGTTTGCACGATGTACAGTTTCAGCATTTATATCGCAATATCACAAAAGTCACATCACAGGATCTTCAAAGTCAAGTTGGGACTATAATTAAGTAGAACACATGATTTGTGCAATCGTTACATAATTTAACCCTAATAGAGTGAAAGATTGTGATTTGCATATTTTTAAGACCCGTGACTGTAAGATTTCAAGCAATTTAAACCATTTAGGAAAAATAAATGATAAAGTTTTTAACTTTAACGATGATTAATTGTATAAAATTGTCTGAACACTGTTAGACTCCCCACAAACCCATAAGACACTTTCTATTTAATTTGTATCTTTGTTCTGTTGTATTCATTATGTTTGTATTTTGTTTATTATATTTTATGCAGACGCACTTCCCTACAAAAGCATCCCAAGTAATCTAAAATGATAAATTCTTTCCTAATAGTGGTACTTAAAATGGCCCAATCCCAATTCTATCCCATAGCCCTTTCACTTACCACTACACCTCGTTTTGCACGTTCCCATGAAGGGGTAGGGGTGTCCCAATTCTCTTCAGCTTGAAGGTGTATGGCTGAGGGGAAGGGCTAGATAGCCCTTGAAATAGAGATTTTTCAGGACCACACTCGAAACCAAGGGGTACCAAAATTTCCCTGAATACACCATCTATAACAGCAGCATGGCTGCACACAGAAGTCAGAAGTTAGTATTTTTGTCATTATTATGAATTTTTACAAGAAGCAATCATATGTTTTAATACATTCATAACAGTGTTAGTGTTTTACCATCATGCTTTTAAAAAAAAATTATAAAAAAGCACAAAATTTCGCTATCTATAATCCATAATAATAATTCCTGTATGGTAGTCTCACAACATACATTCACATCTGTCACTCGATTACTCTAGAATACCCTGTCAGAAAAGTCTAGTGGCTGGGGCTGAGCTTTTTACAGTGTCTGGTTTAACGTTCATGTTGATTTCTTTTGCACAGAAGAAGTCCAGGGTGTAAATGCACAGTGCAGTTACGATCATATTGCCACATTATATCGTTTTGATAACATGATATCGTTGCCTTCAGTGATTTCCTGAAGATAAATACCAAAAAACAACAGAACTGGAATAACTACAACAGTCGCCATTGTCAGATCTCATATGAAGTACGAGCTCTTGATGACATATGAGCACGTGTGCGGGTGTTGTAGTGGTGTCCCATTTATTAAGGGTAAAATTTGAAGGTCTTCCCCTTCACCCTCTGTTTCAAGGGCCAAAGGGAAGGGGTACAAAAATAGATTTAGGATTGGGCCTAAATCTTTTTTATATTCATATGGCTATTTATATATATTCAGGGCTTGCAAAATTTCTAAATCCCTGGTAGCCTTTTGGACAAGAACACTTCAGTTTTTGGTGGCCCGAAATCAATTTAAGTGACCAAAATTGTTTATTAAATAAAAAGAAATACATACATTTACTAAATAAAAGAGTTGTAATGCATTCGTTATAAGCTACATTTACAGTTTAAGTCAGAATTATTAGCCCCCTTTTGATTTTTTTTTTCCTTTTTTTAAATATTTCCTAAATGACGTGTAACAGAGAAAGAAATTTTTCTCAATATGCCTTATAATATTTTTTTCTTCTGGAGAAAGTATTGTTTGTTTTATTTCAGCTAAAATAAAAGCAGTTTTTATTTTTTTAAAACCATTTTTAAAATTATTAGCCCCTTTGAGCTAATATATATATATTATTTTATTTTTTTACTGTCTATTAACCAAACTATTTGTCTCTTTAAAAAGAATAAAAACCTTTTATGTCTACCATTAATGATTTATTTTTCCTATTTTTTATCAACTCTGTATGAATAATCAGTTCTTTTGACAACACCAGTTAGCACAAACACAATTTCACACATATATTGATAGGGGTTTCTCAATGCATAAAAATTACATACGACATAATTACCCAATTTGTGAAAGAATGCAAAAGCATTGACAAAAACTACATGTTCCCTCCCTTTAAAATAGCCCGACGGGCAAGGTGGGTTAAATTTTGATAGCCCTGAAATTGCAGAAAAACTAAATATTGTAATGGCAGTTTATTTATTTTTATTTTTTTCCCAAAAACCCAGTACTAATGACCAGACTCTCTATAGGACATGAATCATCATGTGTGGAAGATATACAGAAAGCAGAGCTCTATCATTAATAACCACTAGACCTTCATGTCTGTAAATAAATTGTGCCAAAATATGATTTATATATGTATGTATTTATGTATGTGTGTGTATATATATATATATATATATATATATATATATATATATATATATATATATTATTGTGAAGCATCTTCAAAAAAATTAAGACGATCTTTTAATTGTGATATTTATAGTTTTCTCCTTTTTACAGAAAGAAAGGGTTCGGTGGAACAGCAGGCATGGCGTTTGTTGGCACAGCTTGTTCCAGAAGTCACGGTGGCGGAATTAATGCGGTATGATGCCTCTGATCCACTCCTCATATGCTACAGACTTTCACCATTATCTGAATCTCTATGTGTGTCTTTGTGTATGTGTATGAATGTATATGTGTGTGTGTTTTCCCTTCAGTTCACCAATAATAACGTGATGTCCTTTGCCTCCATTGTGGCTCATGAGCTGGGTCATAATCTTGGGATGAACCACGATGATGGCCGAAACTGTAAATGCGATGTCACACACTGCATTATGAACTCGGGGGCAACGTGAGTGTTTTTCCGTGTTTATGTCGTACATTTTAGTGTTCTGCCTGGGTTCCCATGCTTCTTGAAAGTACTTGGATTTCAAGCATATGGATTCAAGGCCTGGAAAGTTCTTAGGTACATACTTTAGGTATATAAAAGCGCTAGAATAAAATTTTGAATCAAAGTTTATTTACGTTTTATTTCAAAAGTTGTACTCAATTAACAAAAACAGAATGAGAAATTTGTAAAGGAAAAATCTTAAACTTAAATCTTTTACAATAAAGTCAGATTTATATCTAAAAGCAAACACTTATGTTTTGGTGCAGCATTCACGCGGCCGCATACCCCTCACCACTTTTCTAAAAATGTAACTACACGTCGCAACGACATGTATCGCAAGCTCTGTGATTGGTCGGCTTGGTATCTGTGATGATCGTGGGTGGTGCTGAGAGCCACGAGCCTGATGGAGCGAGTTTCAAGTTTTCAAGCGAGTTTTTACTGCAGCAAGTGTCAAGTTCTGTGAAGGAGCTCTAGATGGAAACTTTTGTTTTGTGTTTACCTTATTATTAAAGTTGTTGCACGTCCAAGGGTTTCCAACTCTGAATAAGCGAGTTTGAGCTATTTGTACATTAAGGTAGCGTTCAGAAAAATAAAACAACCATGAAGGAACTTGACACAGAGGAACATAAAAACAAACTCCCAGCTAGCGTTTCGTGTTACTTCAGAGCAACACAAAAAGCAAAAGTGTAAATGCACGACCCGTACGTGCAAGGCAGGCACTGTGGGTCATGCTGATCACTTGAGGCAAGAAGATAAATCAGCCTTAACACTATAATGCAATGCACAAATCATGCACAATTGATCAGTATTTCAGAAACTTCATTTGAATATTTGAAATAGTTAATATTTTTGAAAATGACTGACATTTTTATGTAAATATTAAGTGTAAGTGAAATGCTACAATACTTCCCACAGGTTTGAAATATATTAGTGGTGGTAGCCGGATTGGAACACACCATTTACCCACATCACATAAATAGTTAACAAACATAATTACATTTTTAACTGTAACTATTTATTATGACAGTTATACACTGTTTCTTTTCAACGGGTTAAAGTAAAAAAAAGACTGTTTAAAAAAAACAGCTATTCAGGAGCCATGTGCACCCATTGACAGGTCAAATCTGCTTCTCTCTCTTTCAAGTACATCGCAAACTTGAATGTCAAAGCATTTTATATATGTTTTATATATAAATTTTATATATCTATATATATATATATATATATATATATATATATATATATATATATATATATAAATTAGCCTATGTAATATATTAACATTAACTTCATAAAATAATCAGCAAATGAGAAATAAATGACAGAAATATGAAATGAAACAGACAATATCTCAAAAAATTATCATAATTACAAGGTTGAAACATGTAGATTATTTGAATAAGGCAAATGCGTTGATTAACCATTACTAATGGTGCACATATATTTTGCAGCCAGTTTAGACCAGTCATTTCTTCCTCTTTGAGTATAAAGTCATTTAGATTAAAGGGCCACGAAACCCCCCTGTTTAAGCAGGGTGTTTTCACACCTCTAGTTTGGAAAAAGTCAGGAAAGTGGGTGAGTCCAGCTCTGTTTAGGGGGTAGTGTAGGAGGAGGGAAAGAGGGAAGGTGCATAAAAATGGGAGTTTCTGTTTGGGCACGCAGATTTTCAGGCAAAACAAACACAGAGGCAGGGCAGAAAGACAGTGATTGTGTTTACATGGACATCAGTAGTCAAATAATTTGCCAAATTATTAAATGGTGGACTTTAACTGCAGTTTGGCTCTTTCATTCAGGAACATTTTATGCATGCCCCCATGACAAATGAGATATTTTATTCAAGGAACTGCTGGAAGCGTGTATTTTAAATGGAACGTTTAATACCTCATGGCAAATGAGAGAAAAAAACCTCTGCATTTCTCTATAACTTAGATGCACTTGGTAGGTAGCGTCAGAAAGCTGTGTGTGTCATTCCTGTCACAAAATGCGACGAAAATCCTGCACAACAGTAATAGTTTGATTGCGGTGTTTACATATTTACACTCAGAGAGCCGCATTTACAGCGGATCTTTC